ATTCCAACTAGCATGACTAGGCCCAGGACCAGGGGACAAAGCCAGAATGACTTACCCCAAGGGGACCCTGTACAGGAAACTAAGGGGAAGAATGTCCTTCCTGGCTCACTGGCCACTGGTGACATGGTGGCGCTCATGGAAAGACTCAGGGTCAGAATGGACAGAGGCATCTTGAAAAGTCTTACCCACTGCTCTTTGTCCACAGAGCCAGATGTTACCTACGAGTGTCAGTTAAAGAAATTCTAAATATCTGATAATTTTTTACTTCTCTCACTGCTTCATTCTGCTATCTTATCCTTGAGAATCTAAGTTCTGTATTATGCTGGGCCAAAGAGGACTACCTCCTCTCCAGATACTCTCCAGAGCATCTCTGGGAAGTGGCTCCCACCCCAACCCAGGGACTACATTTCTCGGACCCATTTGCAGCCAGATGTGGCCGTGTGATAGAGTTTTAGTCAACCGAATGTGAGTAGAAGTGATGTACATCACATGTAGGCATGGCCCATGAAAACCTCCTGTGTGCACTTTTTCATGCTTTTTTCCTCTTCTACTGAGAAATGGAAATAGTCCCACATGACCTTGAAAACCACATGCTGAAGAAGGTGGGGCGTCTCTCAATCTCTGTCTCTGAATGTATGAGAGAGAGAGATGCCCCACTAACTTGCAGTGTCACATGAACAAGAAATAAACTTCTCATATTAGCATAACCAATGGACATGGACACTGGGGCGGTGGGAGCTTGTCCTGGGGGGCGGAAGTGGCAGGGGAGGGTCAATCAGGGAAAAGGAGACATATGTAATACTTTTAAAAAGGAAAAAAAAAAAGAGAAATAAACTTCGATTAGAGCCATTAAACATTTTTCGGTCTATTATAGAAATTAGCCTACTCTAATTATTACCTATCCTTTTTATTTTCTTCTTTTTTTCTTTTTGGTTAATCTTCACCAGAGGATATTTGTTTCCAATTGATTTTTAGAGAGAGAAGAAGGGAGGGAGGGATGGGGAAAGAGAGAGACACATTGATTGGTTGCCCCCTGACTAGATTGGGGATGGAACCAGCCACCCATGTACAGGCCCTTGATCAGGAATTGAACCTGTGACCCCTTTGGTGCCCGGGCCAAAGATCTAACCATTGAGCACACCAGCTGTTATCATTGTGTGCAGAAGTCCCCATGCCTTCTCCCTTTACCCTAAATTTCACTGCAAACCAAAAGAACCGAATTAGTAAACTTAATTTAAGTAGCCATTAGATATAAATGACACTCACCAAGTTGGTGGTCACAGTATTCAGATCTTGTAGCCAGATGAACAGTTTAGCAAAGCCTCAACTTCAAAACAACCTGATATATTAAAATGAAACAAAAAGTAAAATGTAAGATCTACAGAACAGATATATTAGAGTGTAATGGTTAATTCCTAAAGGGAATTGCCAGTTTCCAAAGGAATTCACCACTGTTTTGCAGTAAACGACAAGCTTCCCCATTGCTTTTAAAATAAAATTCATTTTTAATATACCCTCCACACACCAATCATTATAAAACATAATTTATTTATTTTTATTGATTTCAGAGAGGAAGGGAGAGATAGAAACATCAATGATGAGAGAGAATCATTGATCAGCTGCCTCCTGCACACCCCACACTGGGGATGGAGCCCACAACCCAGGCATGTGCTCCTGGCCGGAATCGAACCCGGGACCCTTCAATCCGCAGGCCGACGCTCTATCCGCTGAGCCAAACTGGCTAGGGCTAAAACAGAATTTATAAAGAACAAGTCTACTAAGCCAAGTAAGCTATACAAAGAGTAGATGCTGACTGAGGGAATGATTTTGGAAGCTAGGAAAACTAGGTATGATTTCCATGCCTACGTGCTCTGCAGTTCTTTTATACACATTAAGACTTTTCTCTCAGGAACTTACCTTTCCTGGGTAGGAGCTTTCAGAGCTTGTAAAATTATAGGCTATGCAAAGGCTTAAGATTTTTTATAGGTGAAGTTAAAGCAGACTCTAGGGATACATTATAGTGTCTGTGTTTTATATCACCCTAGGTGGCACAAGAAAATAAGCTCTGCGTAAACAGGGCAATGTGACATGGAGGTGCCCGCACCAGGACAACCAGGGACAACCAGGGACAAACAGAGATGTGCTCTGTAAAGGCGGCAGGCTGGGGATGTTTTCTTATCAGAGCTGCCATCTTTTACCAGGTTAAGTGCGAAAATATCATTTGACGACACAGGGCACATATTTGCCTAGAACAGGGCTTATTTTTGTACCCGATTACTCAGTATAAGCTCCAGGAAGCAAACAGTTCAGAACTCTGAACAAACACTCTGGCAGTCCAACACAGAGCGCCAGGGCTGGCGGGAGGAGGAAGAGGAGACAAAACAAGAGTGGTGACGGGGAAGGCGCAGCTCGGGCCATTTCCCCCCGGGGTTTCAGTCTTGGTGTACAGAAATATTTTTGAGAGGAAATGTGTCCTTGCCTGGGCCTGTGGAGAAGAGAGAGATTAGATAGGTCCCTTCAGTGCTGTATTTGGAGGGTCCCCACTCACCCCTCTGGCCTGGGCCTGCTCAGCCTTAGGTGTCAGGGAACAAGATGGCACCCACGTGAAGGTGCCCACGTGAGGGGCGCGGAGTGAGGGGGCCCAGGCGGGCCTTCACTTACTCGGAGGTGCTGTCTCTTCTGAAACCCAGATGCTGCCAACTCCCTGGGCTCAGGAGTGAGAACCGCTTTCTTGCTCTGGGTTCTTCACTTCTCGTCGAAATCAGCTCCACATATTTTTCTCATGATGTCAACCATTCTGACTCCTTACGTTCTGAAAGTTGATCTACAAGTAAAACCTTCCATGAGGCTTTAAAAAATATATATAAAAAAGAAAAGAAAAGTGTGCTGTGGGGAGATGGCGAGGAGCAGAGAGGCAGTGCCTCCTGATTTTGAGGTTTGCTGCAGCTGCGAATGCCACTCCCCAGGCAGTTTCCTGGCTGCAGAGGGAGGCCAGTGGCCGGCGTGGGTGACGTCAGGGCCAGGCCTGAGTCATCACCAGAGGCCGGGCTGCCCTGCCACTCGGAAGGGGACAAAAGGAACCTTTGATGTCCAGGGCCCTCCTCTCGCTGTACTGAGCAGCAGGCTAGAACATTCCAGCCGCTTCCCCACCCCCGGCCACCCTTCCTCCTTCCGGAACAGTACCAGGCAACTCAGCAAGGCCTCCCCAAGGGATGTCGCCCTCCTGCGTGGCAGAGGCATGGCCGCTCTCTGTCAGAGAGAAGCAAGGGAGAGTGTTTCTCTGAGGATTCTCACCTCCCCCGCTTCCTGGTGGCGCTCACTCACCCAGGGAGTTGCCGGGGTATTAAAGGAGACGTGGCAATGTAGAGGATGGTCCTGTTGCTCTCCCTGGGCAGTCCCCAGGGGTCAGTGTCTATTCCTGTCTGCTTGTGTGCGATGGTCCTGGGCTTCCGTTCTCTTCTCTCTGGGTGCCGGTGTGAGCTGGCACTTCCTGGATTTAAGAGGGAACCGCTCTTTAGGAGGGGTATTTATATCCCAGGGCCCGGTGCGGGGCTCAGTAAGTACATGATGAGTGAATGGGCGATTATTTTAAAACGTAGTAGAGAACATGTATGGAATACTTAGGGTGAATGTTTGAGCTTTTGTGCCAGGTACTTCATAAAGATGATTTCATTTATTACCCTGTTATCATTTCCCGTTCTCTAGCTGAGAAAGTGAATGCTCAGAGAGACGCAGACATGTCTCTGAAGCCTCACAGCTGGTGAGTGGCAGAGCCTGGATGGTCTGGTCCCAAATCCTGTGCTCTTAATCACTATGCTGAGAGGCTGGAGTGAGTGAATGAAGAATGACCAAGGGCAGCCTGTCCAGGTGAGGGGGTTGTAAAGGTAATGATTGGGCTTAAAACCAAATTCTTCAAAAACTAGTGGAGCAATTAGGGATGACCCCTCTGGGGTAGAAGGCATCATGCCCTCTTCATAGGTCAACACCGGGTCTGAGGGTCGGTGGGATACCCACAGTGACAGGAGGGTCCAAGAGGGGATGAGAAGCTAGCATGAGAACAGAAAGCCAGGCAGGTCTGGTGACATGGGGTGGATGAGGAGTCACAATGGACAGAGTCCCTCAGAGGTGTGGCTGGAGGGTCTGTGCAGCTAAAGGCACAAGTTTGGGGCAGGCCCAAAGACTATATGATAGCTCTCTGAAAGCCTGACAATGAGAGAGAGACGGAACAATGATGTAGCTTCAAAGTGTGAGGTGGGGCTGGAAGTGACAGGGAGCAAGACGGGACCTGACATAACAGTTACTGTCCTTAACACCGTCCTGCCAGGACTCAGCTGCCTCTCTGGGACTGGGTGAGCGTGCTGTCAGTGGTGGTGCTCAAGTCCAGGCAAGGACGGGTGGCTTCAGTGGTACCTTCTCCCTCTGTGGTTTATGATTCTGTGGTTTGTACTTTTCGACAATTCTTCTAGGAAAAACCAGAAGTTCCAGCCCCTTACAGAAGGGGGTAGGGAATTGGTGGCCTCAGTAATGTCACGCCATAGCTTTCCTTCCCACAGTGGGGCCGATGGCTGGTCACAGGACCCCTCTCCTTGGCTCAGGAAATGGATGCAGTTACCTTGTTCTGGGAGCTCTGCTGGTTGCCACGCTGAGGAATTAAACTTGTGCTATGGGGCCAGACTCCCCAGCAGGTGGAATCAGCAGAGGTGAATTTCCGAAGGGAGAAATTCACCACCATTTAATCAAGAGAGTAGCAACAACTGACCAGGGTCACTGTCAACATGCACACAGAGCCTGACCTTGGGCTGAGCTGAGGAAAGCGCTTTAAGTTCCAGGCATTTTTGGCAGGAGGACTTGTTTATTCTTCTCTACTCTCTCTGCAGAAAATGCCTATGGGCACCTCCCCACTCTGTTTCCTCAAAGGCTCAGTGGCCTTGCTTGCTTCACATACACAGGTATTTATTCCTTGAAATGAACAGAGGCTGATTTTTTTTTTTTTTTTTTAGCCTCTCTTGTGGGACCAGGATAACATGAAGAGAAGAAGAAAGGAGAGAAGAAATGATGAGTGAAAGCTTAAGTGAGACATAGATCCTCGCACTGCATGCTCTGGGGTTGGTTGGAACAGAGGATAAAAATCAAAGAACTGGATAAAACATCTCTTTGAGGACACAGAGGAGTCAGTGATGACACCCTTAACCTCTACTCCGTCTGGAGAACCCACCACCTTGGTTATAAAAATGAAGTTCTACTGATAATTATAAAAATAAAATGTTTACAAGTTCAAGGAATTCCTTGGAAGACTTGTTTATACTTGCTGCCCCAATTTCTCTCATTTCATTCACTTAAAAAACCCCACACAATTTGCTAAGATATCATTTACACACCATGAAATTAACCCATTTAAAATGTGTCATTCAATGGATTTTAATATATGTATTTACAGAATTGTGTGACCTGTAATCTAATTTTAGAACATTTTTATCACCCCGAAAAGAAACCTTGTACCCATTATCAGTCATGCCTCCTTTGCCTCCACTCCCAGCCTTAAGTAAACATTACTTTTCTTTGTCTCTATAGATTTGCCTCTTCTGGACATTTCATATAAATGGATTCATACAATATTGTCTTTTATGTCTGGTCACTCTCACTTAGCATAATGTTATCCAGGTTCATTCTTGTAGATGATATCAGTATTTCATTCCTCTTTATGCCTGCATAATATTCCATTGTGTGGATATACCACATTTTGTTTATTCATACACTGATTGATAAACATTAAAGTTGTTTTTATTTTTGGCAGTTATGAATAATATTGCCACAAATGTTTGAGTACAAGTATTTATAAGGACATATGTGTTCATGTCTCTTGGGTAGATACCAACGAATAGAATTGCTGGGTTATAAGGTCACTAACTCTATGTTTAACATTTTGAGGAAATGACAAACTGTTTCCCTAAGTGCTGCATCATTTTATATTCCCATTAGCGATGTGTGAGAGCTCTGATTTCTCCACATCTTCACCAAAAATTATTTTTTAAAGTATACTTGACACACAATATTATATTAATTTCAGGTATACAACACAGTGAGTTGACATTTATATACCTTGTGATGTGATCACCACAATAAGTCTAATAGCCATCTGTACCTTACAAAGTTATGATACCATGGCCTATTTTCCCTATGCTAAACACTACATTCACATGACTTATTTATTTTATAACTGGAATTTTGTACCTCTTATTCCTCTTTACATTTTTCACCCATCCCTCCATGCCCCTCCCCTCACCTATACTCTTATTGTCTATCGTTTCTACTCTAGCCATCCTAGTGGGTATGATGTGGTATCTCATTTTGACTTTGATTTGCATTTCCCTGAAGACTAATGATGTTGAGCATCTTTTCATGAACTTATTGGCCATTTGTATGTCTTCTTTGCTGAATTATCTACTCAAATCCTTTGTCTATTTTTAAATTGGATTATTTGTCTTCTTATTTTTTGACTTGTAGGGATTCTTCATATATTCCAGATATACATACATATGCTTTGTAAATATCATCTCCCTGCCTGTGGGTTACCACTTCACTTTCTTTATGGTATTCTTTGAAGTAGAAAAGTTTTTCATTTTGACAAAGTCTAACTTGTCAATCTTCTCTTTTACCACTTGTACTTTTGGTGTCATATCTGAGAAACCATTGTCTAACCCAAGGTCGTAAGGAATTACACCTGAGTTTTCTTCTATGAGTTTTATAGTTTTAGTTCTTACATTTAGGTGTGTGATCCACTTTAAGGTAATTTTTATGGTGTATGGTAGGAATTCAAATTATTCTTATCATGTGGATATCCAGTTGTCCCAAAAGCATTTGTTGAAAAAACTATTCTCACAAAAATTCTGTACATCTAAAACTAAAAGTTTATTTAAAAAAAATACAGGGTGCTCCCATATACACACTTTAATAGCTGATACCTCAGTTGATGTTTCTTTCTTTTCAGCCATACTAAGCTTTGAACAAAGGAAATTCATCCTAAAATGCTACTGGGAAATTGAAAACACTGTTGAAGTACAAACACTGCCTTTATAATTATTTTGAGACACCCTCTGTCAGCTGATAACTCACTTAATTTTCACTCCTTTTCAGGTTTAACTGACTTCAAATAATGGGTGAAGCCAGACTAAGCTTTGAACAAAGAAAATTTATCCACTAGACTTTTTTTATGGAGATACATAAAAGATAAAGTTTACAGTACAAAACCAGCAACAGTTGACAAATTGAGGGTGTGGAAATACCAAACGAAATGATTCTTGATGTTTTTCGATTCCATTGCTTCATGTTATTAGCGGTGCCTGGACCAGAAGGGTCATCAGTTTGAAAACAGACATTGACCAAAATTTTTTAAAATTTCTGTAGATTATTTTAGATTTTGAAAAGAAACTGTATGTTAATAAACACTGACTTTATAATCAAAGTGTGTATATATATTTCTTAGCACACACTATGTATCCTTTTCCCCATTAAAGTGCATTGGCCCTTTGTCAAAAATCAACCAACCATGAATATTAAAGGTTATGTTTGGACTCTTAATTCTATTTCATTGATCTAGATACCTATTGTTATGCTAGTACCATGCTGTTTTTATTCCTGTAGCTTCATATCCATCAGCTTTGGCTATTTCAAGACGGTTTTGGCTATTCTGGATTCCTTGCATTTACATATAATTTTTAGGATTATCTTTTCAAGTTATGAAAAAAATCTAGCTGGGATTTTGACAGAGATTGTGTTCTATTTGTAGATAAATTTGGAAAGGATATCTGTCTTAACAATATTAAGTCCTCTGATCCATGAACCTGGGTAGCCTTTCCATTTATTTAGATCCTTAATTTCTTTCAATGTTTGGTCATTTTCAGTGTACAAGTCTTACAGTCCTTTTGTTAAATCTCATCCTATGTATTTTATTTTTAATTGATAGTATAATCTTTGCTTATGATCTTGTTAAGAGCTTATAATTTGGAGATTGAAAGACCTAAATTTTAGTCCTGGCTCCACCATTTATGGAAGCTCTATGTCCTTAAGACTATTTAGCCTGTGTCAGCCTCCTTTCTTTAATCTGAGCTAAGGAAATAATACATCACCTCATGGTTTGTTATGCAGATAAAATAAGATAATGCTATGCTGTCCTATTGAAACTATGAGCCAGTCTCAGAGTGGTGCTGCAATCTAAGAAACCCAGTCCAGTCACCAAGAAGTAATGTCAAATTAATTCATATTCCAGGGGTGGGCAAACTTTTTGACTCGAGGGCCACAATGGGTTCTTAAACTGGACCGGAGGGCAGGAACAAAAGCATGGATGGAGTGTTTGTGTGAACTAATATAAATTCAAAGTAAAGATCATTACATAAAAGGGTACGGTCTTTTTATTTTTTTTTTTTAGTTTTATTCATTTCAAACGGGCCGGATCCGGCCAGCGGGCCGTAGTTTGCCCACGGCTGTCATATTCAATACTTGCATTTCTCAAGCACCATACAGAGGCCCCTGAAATCCTTCCTAACGTGTTTTTCCCTTCTACCTAAGCCTCTTCATCCCACAGCTTCAGCCTCTCCTTTCTCCCAAGCTCCCTACAAAGTGTCTTCTCCAGCCCTAACCAATGTTTTTTGAGTCCTTCTCCTTCTGCCCAGTACTGATGGGGCAGGAGAAGAAACTGGATAAAGCCAGGACCCTTTTTAGTGGGCAGGAAAAAAGAAAAGAAGAAGCACTCAAACTTGATTTATGTCTCTTCACTCATATAGAGTGTTTAGTGCAATGTCTGATACAACATAAGGACTCAATAAATGTCCGGGCTTTAATTTTGTTGTGGTGGTGATTGCATCATGTCAGTCATTTTCAACTGGTGTGATGCAAGAATTTTTTAAATGCAATACTTGACTATTGAGTCAGAAGCACTGACCTCTTTTCCCTTAGTTTGTCAAATTAAAAAATGACAACAGCCAACACAACCTTAGCTGTCCAGTGTGAATGAATCAAAATTATACCTATCTTTTTGTAATATTGGCAAAAAACTTTTTTTTTTGGTGTGCTGCAGAATTTTAGTAATTAGTTATGTGTGCCATGAGATAAAAAAGGTTGAAAATTACTGCATTATGCCCATCTATACTTTGTTAATTGTGTGGGCTTTAGATCATGGCTTCTGAGAATCTAGCATAGAGGCTACTACCCAAGTGCCCATTCTCACTCATTCAGATGAATTTGGGTTGGTGTTCATCTTTTCTCCTCTTACAGCAAGCATGTCAAACTCGTGGCCTGCGGGCCACATGCCTCATTTACTTGGCCCGTGTTAGCCTTTGAGTTTGATATGCTTGTCTTACATCATTCCTCAGAGAATCACTCCCAGAAAATTGTTAAAAGTTTATCTTTACCCTAGCCGGTTTGACTTAGTGGCTAGGCAGGGGTGGGCAAACTTTTTGACTCGAGGGCCACAATTGGTTCTTAAACTGGACCGGAGGGCCGGAACAAAAGCATGGATGGAGTGTTTGTGTGAACTAATATAAATCCAAAGTAAACATCATTACATAAAAGGGTACGGTCTTTTTTTTTTAAATTTTATTCATTTCAAACGGGCCGGATCCGGCCAGCGGGCCGTAGTTTGCCCACGGCTGGGCTAGAGCGTTGGCCTATGGACTGAAGAGTCCCAGGTTTGATTCCCATCAAGGGCACATGCCGGGGTTACATGCTCGGTTCCCAGTAGGGGGAGTGCAGGAGGCAGCTGATCAATGATTCTCTCTCATCATTGATGTTTCTATCTCTCGCTCCCTCTCCCTTCCTCTCTGAAATCAATAAAATATATATTTTTTAAAAAGTTTATCTTCAAGCTTTCTGAGTCATGTTTAGGGACCTATCTCCATCTATCTCCTATTTTTTCCACTCACCCAGCACCAGAACCCTATGCTTCCTTCTCTCCTCTCACAAAACTTCCTAGTGTAGTGCTTCTGAAACTGCAGGTCAGGGGCTTCTGGTCAAGATGGTGGCATAGGTAAATGCAGTACTTGAATCCTCCCACAATCACATCAAAGATACAACTAAACTTGAGAACAACCATCATTCAGAACTGCCTAAAATCTAGTTGAATGGAAGTCCTACAACTAGGGAATTAAAAGAGAAGACACACTGAGACTAGTAGGAGGGGTGGAGACATGGGATAGATTGGTCCCACACCCACATGTAGCAATTTATAATTGAGAGGGATATCTTGGCTGTGGAGCTCCCCCTCCCCCCGCTTGAAGAGCAAGGGGTCCCAGCCCCATACCAGACCCCCCAGCCCAGGGTTTCAGTGCCAGGAAGAGAAGTCCCCATAACTTTAGGCTATAAAAACTAGTGGGTTATTGTGGCTGAGTGACACAGAGGCTGCTGGAGTCCCAGGCAGTTCCTCTTAAAGGCCCATATGAGGACTTACTCAAATTCCAGTGTTGGGCAGCAGCTTGAAAGGAACCAGGGACATAAAGGGAGGTACTCAATTGTTTAGTTATTAGAGTAAAGCTGAAAGGGGGCAGCTTTCTGCCAGACAAAAGTGCTGGCACATGCCACTGTTCCTTTGTTGAGCCCTCTCCCCCAAAGAGCCGACAAGCAGGTGCCATATCTGAGTCATTATCAACCTGGCTCACACTGTTTGCCCCACCCTGGTGATTCCCTGAGACCCTGCCCCAACCTATTTTGTGCTCATCTAAGCTGTTTCCAGTGGCTTTTCCATACAACTGGCCTGTCTTGGCTCATTCTTCAAATGTTCCTAAAATCTCTCAAACAAGCAGCATCTAGCCTCTGCATACTCTGTACCTCTTGCTAAGTGGCCCCGGGTCTGACGCTAGCGACAGTCGGTCTTGGTTCACAGATTAGCCTCTCCTGGGCAACTTCAAGCCCAACACAATTAGCAGGCATCTGTAGATCACTCTATAGCTGTGCCAAGTGGCCCCAGGCAGGGTGACTTTGCACCTCCCAGGATGCCCCAGAGCCAGGGCATCCAGTGGGCAACTTTAGACCACACTGGATCACAACCCTACTGCCTCCATGAGCAACACATTCAAGGGGCAAACTTGGTGAGCACCAAAGCCCCGCTGAAGCAAGTCCTGCTCCATAGGGTCAACTCCTACACAGCAGCTCTTCCCCTATAGTCACATCTGGTCCTCACAGCTGACTGGCCTGAGGGTTAATTCTTCCCAGTGATGCCAACAGCAATCAAGGCTCATCTAATCTACAACAGGATAGTACACACAGCCCACACAGGGGTGCACCTGGAGCTATCAGCTCAGTTGATGAGGGAGGCTGCGTCACTGGGCTCTATAGGACACTTACTACACAAGACCACTCTACCAATTCCAGGAACGATAGCAGCTCTACTTAATACATAAAAACAAACACAGAGAAGCAATCAAAATGCAGAGAAAAAGAAACATGTCCCAAAAGAAAGAACAGAAGAAATATACAGAAAAAGAACTAAATTAAATGGAGGTAAGCAAACTACCAGATTCAAAGTTCAAAACAATGGTTTTAAGGATGCTCAAAGAACTTAGTGATAACTTCAAGGAACTCAGTGAGAACTTCAACAGCATGAAAAAGGACATAGGCACTACTGAAAAACCCAGTCAGAAATGAACACTAACTAACTGAAATAAAGAATGATTTACAGGGAATCAACAGTAGAGTACAGGATGCCAAGAATCTAATCAGTGATTTGGAATATGAAGAAGCAAAAAATACCCAATCAGAACAGCAGTAAAGAAAAAAAAAATTTAAATCCCCAAATATGAAGTTAGTGTAAGGAGACTCTGGGACAACTTCAAATGTACCAACATTTGCATCATGGGGGTGCCGAAAGAAGAAGAGACAGAGCAAGGAAATGGAAACCTAAGTGAAAAAATAATTACAGAAAACTTCCCTTACCTGGTGAAAGAAATAG